TGCACACAAGTCATATATGACATAAGGACCTATTCCAACTTCCGAAATCAAAATCCGAACCCGTTATCAATAAAGTCAACCCTCGGTCAAACCTCTCAACCTTCTAAAACTTTTACTTTCCAATTTTTGTCATAATGCGCCGAATTATCCCACGGACTTCCAAATCCAGATCCGGATGTACCCCTAAGTCTAAAATCACCCTACGAAGCTATTGAAATTACCAAAACTCCATTCCGGAGTCATTTGCATAAAATTCAAACTCCAGTCAACTCTTCTCACTTAAGCTTCTAAAATAAGAATTGTTGTTTCAATTTAATCCCGAATCATCTGAAAACCAAACTCGACCAGCCACGCAAGTCATAATACACATTACGAAGCTGCTCGAGACCTTAAGCCGCTGAACGGGACGCAAATTCTCAAAACGACAAGTTGGGTCGTACATTCTCTCCCTCTTAAACAAATGTTCGTCCTCGAACGAGCCAAGAACCTTTTTGAGGACATCAAATTACTGAGTATATTCATCATACATATACTCGCGGGTGATCCCACATCATCCCAGTCGACATAAGCCCGATAACACCATCTCGATTGAAGGTTATTTCTCCTATCTACACCGTTAAACCTTAGAACCAAATTTCTTACCATCCAAAAATTTCCAAAATAACTGATTTCCACATCAACACACGGTATCAAACATCAACCAGCTGTAAAAACTCATGCTTTCACCCACCAGGTACCACCACACGATGTAACACTTCATATATAGTCCTATAATAATAACTCTGGCCACGATGCCCATAAACAAACACAACACCGGCAATTAGCCTCATCTCAGTTAGAACCTCATTTCAAACCTTCAATACTCTGGCAACAATGCAAGGAACACGAAGACCTCCTAACATTCACCCGAATCATCAGTTCACATTTAATGCTACTTGAGCACAGACCTCGTAAGCTAAAACCAAATAAATACTATGCAATTATGGCTAAATATGCAAAGAAAAACACATAAGAGAACTATCAAATAAGCCCAACAGGCATAACTTCCTATTAGTGCTATAATGCAAATAAGTTTCACAAAGGAGAATTTATAACACATGAATTAGCCACAAGAATCTCATCATGATATAACTTCTCTCGCGGCACGTAGCCCGGTTCAAAAATATCAAATCACATGAGAACGCGAGTATCACATCCTCAGCTCTGAATCACTAGTATTATGCACACCGTGACAACAAAAAACCTTCAATTTTCTTCTTTTAAATAAATTCTGTTAAACAAAGTCACAACACATAATGTACCCCCATATCGGTACGGCATATAAATCACAATTTGCAACTAATTGTCACAAAATTACATCAAAACTCACAGTAATGAGTAACAGAAAGTCACCTTTAGTCTCATAGCACTCATTAGTGACCAAAATAGAATGATATACACGGCTATCGCCATAGAATCTCCCAACAAGGGTAAACACATAGATAAGCAAAACCAAATCAAAGTAGGGATAGTGCTCCTTTATATCAAATCAAAATCATACCTGTAATGACACCATCGGTGTAGCGGACTCAGTCATACCATAGTAAATACATCAACAGGTCGGGTCTCCCCTTCTAGGGCGCCCTCCACCCGCCTGTCCTCCACCCTTAACTGGCTGTGCAGGTGGAGTAGTAACTGGAACAAAGCCTGTAGCTTGAGTGATCTGATGAAATCCGCCTCTCTCAAGTATGGGACAATCTCTCATGATGTGTCTAGTATCACCAAACCCATAACAACCCCTATGTGGGCGCAGCTGCTTGTACTGAGTCTGTGCCGAATAACTAGAATAACCATTGTAAAACCCCCGTGCCGGTGGTGCACTAAAAGATGACTGCCCCATTTGAGTACCTTGACTAACTGGAGCACCGCGAGTAGTCTGAAATGCAGACTGGGCTGGCCGACTGCCCGACCCTTCGCCATAATGATTCATAGCTTTAGAGTAGATTCCACAGAATCCTCCATAACCTCGAGACTTCTTGGTCTCCTTAGTCTCTTTTTCCTCATCCCAAACACGTTCTAACATCCTTGCAATTTTCACCACTTGCTGAAATGGAGTATCGGTCTGTAGCCCCCGAGCCACACAGAATCTAACATCATAACTGAGTCCTTCAATGAATCTGCGAAATCGCTCTTTGATAGTAGGAACCGAAGTGTGTGCATGACTGGCTAACTTAGTGAACCTGATGGCATATTCTAACACCGTCATGGTGCCCTGATGTAACCGTTCAAACTCTATGCGCCACGCATCCTGGAGGGTCTGGGGAATAAACTCCCTCAAAAACATCTCTGAAAGCTGAGCCCAAGTGGGTGGTACTGCATCAGTTGGTCTACCCTCTTCATAAACTTGCCACCATTGATACGCTGCTCCTGACAACTGAAATGTAGTAAAGGCAACTTCGCTCACTTCCACAATACCCATGATGCGGAGAATACAATGTAACTTTTCTAGAAATCCCTGAGCATCCTTAATAATTATGCCATTGAAAGTAGGTGGACCATACCTTTTGAACCTCTCAATCCTTTTTTGTTCATCTTTTGATACTCCTGGCCTAACCTTAGGCTAAATCAGAATAACAAGTTGTACCGGCACTACACCCGGAACTGACCAATGTGAACCCGCTACTCTGGAGTACGGGCGGTATGAGTATGGGCTTCTCCCCCAATCTGTGAAGTAGTTGGTGAAATAGAGATCAATCTCGCTTGAGCCAATGTACCAAACATGCTTAGGAACTGTGCTAAAGTCTCCTGAAGTCCGGGGGTAACAACATGTGCCTCCGGTGCATGTTCCCCAATCGGAGCTACTAGAGGCTCATCAACTGCTTCTCTTACAGGTGCTGTAGCTATGGCACATGCCCTTCCTCGGCCTCTACCTCGGCTTCTCACAGCTCTAGCAGGGGGAGCATATGTCTGTTCAGCTGACCTGGTAGCGCCTGTCCTTACCATCTGTGAGAGAATAGAGATTCAAAGGCTTAAACTCCAAAATCAACCAATCCGCATGATGTGAATGAAAGAAGTGGAAGTTTTCTAATAGTTTCGTAGCCTCTCGAAGATAAGTATAGACTTCTCCGAACCGATCTGCAAGACTCTACTAAACTCGTTTGTGACTTGTAGAACCTATGAACCTAGAGCTTTGGTACCAACTTGTTATGACCCAAAATTCCACCACATGCGTCGTGATAGCACTTAGTATCTAAGACTAGGTAAGCCGATTACAATAATAATTCAAGCTATTTTTTGACCATGATAATATAAATATCGAAACTAAAAGTGGAAATAATTATAACAACCTCCCAAGACTGGTAATATAGAGTCACAAACTCTAACTGAATACATGATATGATCTCAACGATCGAAATACAATATTGTTCGAATAATAACTCACAGTACAACAAAATGAAAGACTCCAAGGGACTGCGATGACCAAGCAACTCTAACTTGAATTCTTGCGATCAACAAGCTAACTCTTTCGAGTTCGATATCTCCAATACATGGTTCTACACAAAAATATGCAGAAGTGTAGTAAGAGTACACCACGGTCGGTACCCAGTAAGTATCAAGACTAACCTCGGTGGAGTAGTGACGAGGTACAGTCAAGACACTCACTAGTCAAATAACATGTGTAGTTCAGCAGTATAACAATAATAATGGAAAACATGAAGCAGTAATGGCAACAAGAATCAACCAGTGATATAACGGCAAAGTAATAATAACACCATAAATATTGTTCAATCACATAAAGAACATAAGAACATCCAATTAATTAAGTCTTTCAAGTGCAAGTTGTTTCACAATAAAGTCACTCCGTGATATCTCATCTCATAATCATAAAACAAGCGTCTCAACCCACTATCAAAATCTCATGGCTCGTGCCCATATCTCAAATCATAATCTCACGGACAACTCACATGCCAATAATATTAATATGTGGATCTGCACAGGCAACTCACGTGCTGCACAAACAACTCACGTGTCAATAATATCAATATATGGATCTGCAAGGACAACTCACATGATGCACAGACAACTTATGTGCCAATAATGTCAATATGTGAATCCGCACGAACAAATCACGTGTTACATGGACAACTCACATGCCAATAATATCAATATGTGGATCCACACAGACAACTCACGTGCTGCACAGACAACTCACAGGCTCACAATCTCATCATGAAACGGATAATATCAAAGTACATGGACATATTTAATAAATGTCAAGTTTCATACACATGAGCTAGTATAAGTAGTATGTTATAGTGTATGCATGTGCAAGTGTACTATTGCAGCCCAAATCAACAAAAAATGTCAAGTGCATCAAATAGCTCATCGAAACAACAAGGCAAGTTACTCAAAATATATAACAAACACAATAAACACACATTTCTTAAGAATTATTCCAATACCACAACCACACCAAGCCTTCGCACTACAAAAAAATAGCGTTTAGCGACGGAATTTAGTGACAAAAGATACTCCGTAGCTAAATAACGATGGATTAGTGACGAATTTTATAGTTTGTCACCAAATAAGCTACAAAAATAATTTGTATCAAATATAGCGACGGAATAGCGACAAAAACTTATATTTGTTGCTAAAATTACCGCTAAATATTAGCGCCTTTATTTTACCTACAAAAAATTAGCGACGAAAGTGGGGCGACAAAAATTATTAAAACTTAGCGACAGATTTAACGTCAAAAAATCTGTCCCTGCATTTATTTTACTTATCAAGACATTCCAAAGTTGATTGCGACAAAATTTTCCGTCGCTATTTCCGTTGCTAAAATCTAGTTTTCTTAAAATAAAATTTCATTAGTTATTATTAGCGACAGCAATTAGGCCCGTCGCTATTTCCGTTGCTAAAAGTTTTATCCTAAAAATAAAATTACCTTAGTTAAAAGACATTCCAACAATTAGGGCACAACATGCCCACTTTCTCTCCTCTCTATCAGACTCCCACTTTCGAATCTAAATGCCTTCTTGACTTTTTAGGTCTGGAGGATGAAAATTGACAACCCAAAAACTGAATTTCATCATCTGAATATTCTTTGAATAGATTAATAAAGACCTTTTTAGTTCCACTGCTGCTAGGTTTTGAACAAAAAGATGATATAATCTCAACTTTGACGTCTCTTTTCCTTGAGTATTTTTCACCAACAGTGTGAGTTATTTTCTTCAAATACAAAAAATTGGGCGTGAATCTAGGGTTAATGTCTGAAAAATAGAAGAAAACTTTCGAAATTGCAAGATTTTTGCTGCAGAATTCTGAAATTTGAAGTCGTGTGTTGCTGCTCCGCAAGATTCTCAGGCGAAAGGGTAAGCTTCTTTGTGATTTCATTCCTGTCTTGTAGATCTGGGCGAGAATCATTGTTCAACTTTGCTAAAACTAAAGTCAGATCTGGGTGAGAATCATTATAATGTCTTCCTCTCAAACTTGCTTAGAATTGTCAGCATATCTACTAGTTCCTAGCAAACTAAAGCCGACAGCCCATTCTTGCTGGAAAGAGCGTGAATTGCTGCCTGGACAATCTTATATTTTTTTGGATAAACAGGGTAGCATATGGTATTGTATGTATCATAAGGTTTAATAAAACAATGTATGTATCCTAAGGTATCAGTTTATTTTCTTTATCTTGTTGATCTACATGAAATTGTTAGCTATGTTAAGCTTCCTAGTTAACATCGTTGATTAAGTGGTTCTATGAACTGCTTAATTTTTCAAAGAAGTTTGACTGTAATAACCCAACCGGTCATTTTAACTTTTGGAACCCCGTTCCCTAAAATAAAACTTCACATTGCGGGGATGGTTGGTTCGGAATTTGGAAGTGTTCGGGTTGAAATCGGAACACTTGGGTTCTTAAGTTAGCCTTAATAGGGCAAGTTTGACTTCGGTCAACATTTTGAGAAAACGACCCCGGAATCGAGATTTGACGGTTCCAATAGCTCCGTATAGTGATTTTGGACTTAGGAGCGTGTTCAGAATTTTATTTGGAAGTCCGTAGTTAAATTAAGCTTGAAATGGCTAAAACAAGAATTAAGTTTGGAAGTTTGACCGGAGAGTTGACTTTTTAATATCGGGATCGGAATCCAGTTTCGAAAATTTTCATAGCTCCGTTATGTCATTTATGACTTGTGTGCAAAATTTGAGGTCAATCGGACTTGATTTGGTAGGTTTCGGTACCGAATGTAGAAGTTGGAAATCTTAAGTTTCATTAAGCTTGAATTGGAGGATGATTCATGGTTTTAGCGTTGTTTTGATGTGATTTAAGGCTTCGACTAAGTTCGTATGATGTTTTAGGACTTGTTGGTATAATTGGTTGAGGTCCCGAGGGGCTCAGGTGAGTTTCGGGGTGGTTTCAGATCATTTCTAGGCCATTTTTAACTCCTGGTTTCTGCCTACAGAGGTGTGCATCGCGATCGCGAACATTTGCTCGCATTCGTGAAGAGCAAACAGCAGTTTGGGGCCTTGTGAATCACGATTGTGGAAGCTCTTTCGCGATCGCGTAGAACAAATCTCTGTTGCACTGACCCGACTTTGGAAGCTTATATCTCACAATCTATAAGGAATTTGGAGAGGATCCAAAAATGAAAGTTGTAGCCCTTGATGTCTAGTTTTTATAAAGGTAAAGAATTTGTGATTTGGAGTTGTGTACAAAAGGTTATGGTGGATATAGTATAGGCTATCTAGGAAAAGTTTGGAAATCTCCGTTGCACATGGCTGATTTTGGAAGCTTATATCTAGAAATATATAAGGAATTGGGAGATGAGCAACAAATGAAAGTTATAGCTCTTTGTGTCTAGTTATCAGAAAAATAAACCATTTACAATTTACATTTTGTACAAAACGTTATGACCATTATACTAGAGGCTGTATGAAAGAGTTGGGGGAGTTTGTTCTTCGCGATCGCGATTGGTTTTCCGCGATCGCGAAGAGCAATTTTTCATGTTCATGCACTTGTGATACCGGGTTTTGGGATGATTATGGATTGCACTATATTGGAAATTTTTAAAGATATTATTACGTATTTTATAAACTTTATCTTCTGCTATTTAATTGAGGGGAACAACTATGACTTCAAAAATATTAAAATGAGAATTTATTTAGTATTTATTGTTGGCTTGTCTGACAGCGGTGTCCGGCGCCATCACGACCTTTATGGATTTTGGGTCATGACAACATGGTATCAGAGCACTCGGTTCACTTAGGTCTCACGAGTCATGAGCAAGTCTAGTAGAGTCTTGCGGATCGGTACGGAGACGTCTGTACTTATCTTCGAGAGGTTACAGGGCTGTTAGGAATACTTCCCTTTTTGATTCCTTTGAGGCTTATGCCTTCATTTCCTTCCTACTCAATCTTATGCGACGTGAAGCGCTTGTTATAAATTGGGGATCGAGGAAATACTTAATGGTACTACAGATGTAGTACAGGATGCTTCTCCCTGTGTAATTAATTGGGCTATTGTCCTCGCCTTGCGAAAGGCCGCTCTGTCATTTCAAATTAAGTATCAGTACTACCTAAGGTTTTGAGATTTGGCATTGATTGTTATGACAATTTGTGCGTTGTTATCGCACAATGTTTATGAAATGGTAAACTGCCTATCTATGTGTTAGGGCAGTAAACGACTTGAAAGAAGGTTTTTCTCAGTACATGATTTAGAGGTTCCATGTTTTAATTCCAGCGGAGAAAAGGCAATCGGACTATGAATGTTCAGGTTTGGGGTTGATGGAGTAACGAAGCTTGATATTTTCGAGCGTGGTAGAGTTCTCAATTGTGATGTGGTGTCATCGCCTTATTAAATGCGATAAGGTTTACTGGTGTTATGGTCTTATTCAACTCGCCTTCACGGCGGGGTGTTAGGAATTCGTGTTGGGGAAGCAGTTGTTAGAGATCACGGTGTGCAGTGGTTCAGGATTGAAGTGGTGTTCCTAGTATTGATGTCTCGAGAAGGATGATCCTCAAAAAGGTTTAAAGCTGGTAACGAGCTATTGGTTCAAGTGTTACCGAGACGTATTTTTAGTTAAGGCAACAACTGGGCAGCGAAGGATAAGGAAGGACATGTGGAAGGTGTCTTGTGGTGGTTAAGTTCCTAGGAGGCCAAGTGTGAGAAACAGAAATCGAGTAGTTGCTTAAAGAAGAGTGGCAAGGTAGCATATGAGTTACGTGGTAGGATAACTACACGGCTTGAGGAAAGTTTGAAGTGATTTGGGACTTAGGATGGACTGTGACTAGGTCTACTGACTTAAGTTGTAATATTAGCTGCTATATTGAGGAAGATTGGATACAACATGAGGGGGTTGCTTGATATGAAGAAGGATACAACATGACTTTGGATTAGAATGTATTGTCGCACCTTTAGTTGACGTCCATGAGGAGTGAACGGACTAGTGCAACTGGTGAATGAGCTCGGACTCGGAATGATCTACTGATTTTGTAGTAATCACACCCAATGCAGCGACGTTGGAATATGTCGGCATGTAATTTCCACATGTGGGTTATCTCCTATGAGCAGGTTAGCGGTCGTGTGGTGTTGACGAAGCTTCTACCAAGAATTCCACTGGCTACCCGGTAAGAGATTTAATATGTAAATATAGCTAGTGGTTCAGAGTGTTTATTAAAGGTTAATAGGAGGAATTCGAGAAATTTGGCGAGTTGCGTGTGTAGGATCATGTCAACAATGAAGAAAGAATCTCAGTGGATTGCAGAATTATGTAATTGTAGCTTCAAGCTAAGTGGGAGAGCCCCACCATCTATGATTGGATTGCGTAGTGTCAACTTGTGCGGAATCTGGTTATCGGTGTATTTGGTGGGTCATTACGACTAAGGAAAGAAAACATCGGTGGTAATTTGAGCAAAGGATTTGGGGAATGTGTGCCATATTCGGCCTTATCAATTCATATTCAGGTTTGTGGGAAGACTCAGAGATTATGCTTCGTGTAGATGTAATGCACAGGGAAAGTGAGATAGTCGGGTGTTTCCTTAAGAAAATGTCCATGTGCTAGCAGGGCCTTGGAGTTGATCATGTTTGGGAACAAGTCAGAGCAAGTGACTCTCAATAACGAACCTAGCGGATTCAAAAATTTAAAGTGTGGTGTCTAAGGATCTCGAGTCTATAAGTTGGAGTACTCTACGTTATCTTCAGGTTGTGGTGTAGCATTAGAGAAACGGAAGAAAATAACTTCGGATTCATAAAAGAAGTATCAGAATGGGTGTACGAGTTGAAGATGTAAAAAGTGCGCACAAGAAGGGATTTGAGATAATTAGTGGGTTTTGAAATAGCGTGGTCTCGTAAAATAAGTGCACTTAGGATGAGTGCGGATTTGAGTTCATGATGTAATGAATGGAGCTATTATTATTTCTAAGGAAAGTTGAGAGTAAATTGAGAAAATACGGATCGGCTAACAATGGTTGAATCGGCACGATGGTGGCAATGATCAGTTCCTTCAGCCCATTTAATTATGCATGTGATTGGTGGCGGTACGTGCGAGGCTTGACGGCCGCCGTAATTGATTTTATTTGGAGGAATTCAAGTATTATGACATGTTATGTGTAGAGGGATCCCATAAGAGTTATGGTGGTATAGACCACTACTTAAGGCCGGTGTTTTCTGTGTATATGGGAATTCAGTCAGGTGTTGCAATGGTTCTCTTGAAATAAGTTAAGTAGAAGGTTTCTATATGATGAAGTATTTACCCTATTAGTGGTTCGGGAGTTATGATGGAATTCTTGTACTCCTGCGCACTTGCGTGATTAAGTGCACTAAGTAGCATGGAATTCGAAAGTTGAGGATTCAAGATTTCGGTTCGGTGTTGACAAGGATGTCATGAGCTCGGATGAGCAGGAAAAGGATTTAGATGTCTAAAGTAATATGGTATTGTTTTTGGCATCATCTAAGGTCGATGCCAAGTGTAAGAGACCTTGTGTATTGATTTGTGGATTCTTGATATGCCAACATTAGTGTAACTGGTAGCATGGATGTGTAGACTTGTTACCTGGTGCGGAAGGTCGCGGGAGCAGGTCTCATGGAAAGATTGTGTAAGAGTGACATGTAGTCACTTGATTGAGTGAAGATTGAAACCAAGTATAAAGATTGTGGTAATATCGCTGATTCGAGAATTTATGCCTAGAGGGCGCTCGGTTCATTTGGTTGTCGACTGTGGAAGTATTGTTCCGGTTATGATGGCTATTCTTGTATGTTATGGGAAAAAGGGTTATTATGGATACTTGAAAGGTTATTAGCATAGTACGATGCGATCAGAATCGGCTTGAGGTCTGTGGATGGATTTGAATATGAATATGGGCTCTATATCAGGCTGGATGTGTTCATTTCAGCATAACCGCTCCCTATGGAGGAGTATTCAAACGTTGGATATCGTTTTGTCGTCAATTATTTCATGTAATACTATATTGTGCTGTGTGAGTTTCGAAATGGATTGATAAAATTCTTATATGTTGAGGTTCCGCGTAGCGATGGTGTTATGTGAGCAGGATGGCTCTCGAGATTCAGATCATATATTGCACCTTAGTTGTGCTTGAGTTTTGTAGCATATGGCGCTGTCGGTCCTTCCAAGGATGGTATTATGCACTTAGCGTGCTTGTGTCCGATGTTCAGATATTTTCTAAGTAATGAGCATTCTAGCTCGGTAAGTATTTTCTTATAGATTCTTTTTGTGTGGATCGGGTTGCACGCCGCACCAGTGTGATGATGAGTACAGTTCCCTATATTCTATTTTGTGTGTTTTGTGTCCCATTTTCTGAGGAAGGTTCATGACACCTTTTTAGTTATTTAATTAGTCACGTGGGTTGAGTAATCCTTTCCATAGTTTGTTTTCCTTATGTATTGTAATCGAGTCCATAGCTTGTTGGCACATTATGGAATCACATGAGACTTTTGATCATGTCTCGGGTGGCTTATTGCCTGAGCAACTTATACTAGGAGAGACTAGATTATTGGATCTGGGATCAGTGTATCAGATTATATGCAGTATATTAAAGAGCAAATACCATTATTTGGTTCATAATGAGGTGATGATTCTAGTCAAGAGGAGAGATTCAATGGGTTGTTGACTCGGCAGTTGTTTATGAATTTCTACACATCTCTTCCGTTGTGGCGGTATTGCAAGAGATAGAGCAAGACTAATATATGCCATGAGGTGCATTGTGAGCATCGGATTCGTGAAATTTTGACTATCATTATCAGAGGAAGTTATTATGGTCATGTGAATTATTCGGTGCAAGGTGTGGATTCAACTAAGGTATGCAATCCTGTACTGGTGCATCGTGTAGTGATTGATACGGTGTTCATAGGTTGAAAACGGGCATAGTGGAAAATTCTGGATGTTAGAATTTGGCTCTAAGGATTAATTTTCTAAAGAAAGGGGAGAATCTTCAGATTGGCTCGAGCTAATGTGCTCAATTGGTTGTGGTAGCACGGGTAGATGCTCGAAGTGTTAAACAGTAATTTTGGGACAACTCCGGAACAATCCTTAGCACGTTCGAGGATGAACGTATATTTAAGTGGGAGAGAATGTAATGACCCAACTGGTCATTTTAACTTTTGGAACCCCGTTCCTTAAAAGAATACTTCCTGTATATGTTTTTAATGATTTACGACTTGCGGGGATGGTTGGTTCGGGATTTGAAAGTGTTTTAAAATCGGAACACTTGGTTCCTTAAGTTAGCCTTAAAAGGGCAAGTTTGACTTCGGTCAACATTTTGAGAAAACGACCCCGGAATCGGGATTTGACGGTTCCAATAGCTCCGTATGGTAATTTTGGACTTAGGAGCGTGTTCAAAATTTTATTTGGAAGTCCATAGTTAAATTAAGCTTGAAATGGCTAAAACAAGAATTTAAGTTTGGAAGTTAGACATGGGAGTTGACTTTTTGATATCGGGGTCGGAATCCAATTCCGAAAATTTTTATAGTTCCGTTATGTCATTTATGACTTGTGTGTAAAACTTGAGGTCAATCGGACTTGATTTGATAGGTTTCGGTATCGAATGTAGAAGTTGGAAATCTTAAGTTTCATTAAGCTTGAATTGGAGGATGATTCGTGGTTTTAGTGTTGTTTTGATGTGATTTGAGGCTTCGACTAAGTTCGTATGATGTTTTAGGACTTGTTGGTATAATTGGTTGAGGTCCCGAGGGGCTTGGGTGAGTTTCGGGGTGTTTTCGGACCATTTCTAGGCCATTTTTAACTGCTGGTTTTTGCCTACAGAGGTGTGCATCGCGATCGCGAACATTTGCTCGCGTTCGCGAAGAGCAAACAGCAGTTTGGGGCCTTGTGAATCGCGATCGCGGAAGCTCTTTCGCGATCGCGTAGAACAAATCTCTGCTGCACTGACCCGACTTTGGAAGCTTATATCTCACAATCTATAATGAATTTGGAGATGATCCAAAAATTAAAGTTGTAGTCCTTGATATGTAGTTTGTAGAAAGGTAAACCATTTGTGATTTGGAGTTGTGTATAAAAAGCTATGGTGGATATACTATAGACTGTCTGGGAAGAGTTTGGAAATCTCCGTTGCACAAGGCTGGCATTGGAAGCTTATATCTAGAAATATATAAGGAATTGGGAGATGAGCAACAAATCAAAGTTATAGCTCTTGGTGTCTAGTTTTCTGAAAGTTAAACCATTTACAATTTGGAGTTTTGTAGAAAATGTTATGACCATTATACTAGAGGCTGTCTGAAAGAGTTGGGGGAGTTTGTTCTTCGCGATCGCGATTGGTTTTCCGCGATCGCGAAGAGCAATTTTGGGGCTGAAAAATTTTGTGCTTCGCGATCGCGAAGAGTAAATGCCTGGACAGAAGATATACTTTGAGGTTTCGGCCATTTTAACACATTAGGAGCTATGGAGCTCGGATTGAAGCGATTTTTGAGGCGATTTTTACCATATGGATAGGGGTAAGTGTTCTATATCCGAAAGTGAGTATACTTCATGATTCTATGGTTATATTCATCATTTATTTCGGATTTAAATGGAAGAAAATTAACATTTTTTGCAAAATCTTCCAAAAACAAAAATTTAAGATTTGGATGTCGAGCTGTTATCGGAATTTGATAAAATTGGTATGATTGAACTCGTATCGGAATAGATGTTCGGATTTTATAACTTTTGTTGGGTTCTGAGACGTGGGCTCCACGAGCAATTTTTGAGCTAAAAATTAGTATTTTCTTATGGAATTAATTCCAATAAATTTTAGTGATTGTATTGAATTATTATTGGCTAGATTCAAACCAGTCAGAGTTGGATAATCGTGGAAAAAGGCCTTCTATTGGATTAAATTCGAGCAAATTGAGGTATGTCTCTTGTCTAATCTTGTGATGGGGAATTACCCCATATGTAATTAAATTAATAACTGTTGCTAATTGTGGGGGCTACGTACGTACGAGGTGACGAGCGTCCGTGCGTAGCAACTATTAATGCTAAAGTCCGGGTAGTTTAGGACTCAAAGCATGAATTACTTGTGTAAATTATATCTGTTATTTAATTACATTATTTGATATATATCATAAATTGTTAGTGAGAGATAGTAAAAGATGAAAATCTCATATGCTTATTTCTGTTTAAATTAATTAATTATTAAAAGAAATTGTTCTTCCTCTCTAACATACTCTCATTCCGGAGGTACATAAGAAAATGTCCTCTTTTCTTGTGGAGCGGGCCGAACGCCTCGGCAGGATCAATGCATCTATGGATCGTGTCGCACGTCCCTCGGCAGTGTACATGAAACTCTGGATAGGTTCGTACGACCTCGGTAGAAATCGTACTTAATTATAATAATAATTATACGATACTTGGATAGTTTATTACAGCTTGTAAAGCTATTTGATAAATTGGAAATTTATTGAAACTGAATTGCAGCTTGTAAAGCTATTTGATAAATTGGAATTTTTATTGAAATTGAAGGATTTAATTAATAGATTAGAAATTGTTGCATTTGAAGGAATTTGATTGATAAATTGGAAATTTATTGGAATTGAAGAAATTTAATTACTTCTACTGGTTTAATAAAATTATTGTTAACTCTGTGAATCACGTTGATATAAATATTTTTATTTTCATGATTATTTAATATTATTGACCCATAGTGAGTGTCATAGTCGGCCATCTCGTCTCTACCTCTTCGAGATTAGCTTTGATGCTTACTGAGTACACGTTATTTTCGTACTCATGCTGCACTTGCTGCATATTGTATTGTGCAGGTACATATATATCTAGCTGCCTTATGGGCGCAGAGGTATGGTTAATAGTTGCGGGGACATAGGTGAGCTACATTCTGTATTACGATCCGCAGCCAACAGAGTCTCCTTCAGAGATATTATAATTTTCTGTCTAATTTATATTCTGGACAGATGCTGTATTTTAAATTTTAATTCCCTAGTAAATGCTCATGCACTTGTGACACCGGGTTTTGGGATGATTATGGGTTGCACTGTATTGGAAATTTTTAAAGATATTATTACGTATTTTGTAAACTTCATCTTCTGCTATTTAATTGAGGGGAACAACTATGACTTCAAAAATATTAAAATGAGAATTTATTTAGTATTTATTGTTGGCTTGTCTGACAGCGGTGTCTGGCGCTATCACGACTTTTATGAATTTTGGGTCGTGACATTGACTATATCATATATACTTTTCTTTGCATGCATATCAGTTTGACCTTGAACATATCAGCAGATTTACAATCATTGTTCACGTGGAATACTAAGCAGGTTTTCTATTTACCTTAATTGCACAATAACTTGGATTTCACTCTTTAATCCCTATTACTTGGGTCTGATTTTCTTCTATGTGAGTACATATGAATGTCTGGATCTCTGGGTGTGTATACATCTTATGTTCCACTAAGCTAATCTCTAGGACATAATATATGTACACTTGTCATCCCTGGTCTAATATCATTGAAGTTTGCTGGAGTGTAGAGGAGAGGTGGTCATATGGATGTTGATGCCACAGCTAACACTCTGAATTTTAGGACGTGGAAATTGAAAACAAAATGTAATACAGAAATTTACCAGGCTATTGGTTACCTATAAAAATATCAGATAGTAAATTCTATGCCTTCTTGTACAACTTGATGAAGTTTGGCCAAATAGTTAATTATTGAAATAGAACAATTTTATACATTATACAACTTCACAACAGAAATCTCACGATTTTTCCATTGCCAACAGAGAAAGCAAACTAATTTAGCCAACAACGCATATAGATCACATAGAATGTTAGTCGTAAATACACATATTGTTCTCTTCTTTGTGGGTCTTGGTTTCTTTAACGGCTTACATTGAATTTTAATTGCATGTATTTGTCTCCTGAAAACAAGTCTAGATGTGTGAGTTTCTTCAGAAAATGTCTTGATTTTTTGGACGAGCCTGATCATCTGGTATGTTGTCTCATAGTATTAGCAAAATATGTCTAGTATATTTCATTATCTCCTTGCGTAAACAAGAAAATGCTAAAGCTGGTGTTATTTTGAGTCTTGAACTTTGCTACTTGTCTTTAACAAAAATGCGCCTCTCTATAGTTTGATAAACCTTTCCATTTTCCATCTTTGCCAAGTACTTTGGAGAAATGACCTGCAATTCTGACTTGATTTTTTACTTGTAATGTGGTTTTAAAGGACAAGAACAGCCACCTGTTGTAAAATGTAAACCATGCAGGAAATTACTCATCTCAGTTTCTCTTCTCTAAGTTCATAAAAGTAAAAAAGAAGGAAAAACTAACTGGAAGTCTGGAACCTGTGCATATTGTATCATACATATGATGGGTTTGGCAGCTTTCTTTTTCTGCCAAAACTAACTGGAACCTGTGCATACTGGAACCTGCTTGCTTCCCCATAGTACTATAGTCTTTTAAATTTAAAGAAATTAGCTTCAAATTGCATATCTGAGCTTCCATGCTAGCAGCAAAAGTGGTGAAATGCTAGGTTCCATTTATGGATCCAGCTATGGTTATTGATGGATATCTGACTCAGGCCAGTCATTCTGACACAATCATGAGATGTGAAGTCATCTGCAGTGGGAAAGTTTTGTTTCTAGTTAGGAGGTGTATCATGATTAGTAGTACTATAGTACAAAATTGATAACAGAACTTGATTGGTCTATCTTCTTAATTGAATAACTTTTGTATAGGCTGTTAAAAAAGGTCGAAATCCAACACCAAGTGAGTTGCATTTGCACGTTCATACACATGGTAATAATGGAAAATCTTTTGTTGCTGAGAAATCCCGAATTGTACATGTAAGATAACTTTTTAAATAATTTTATTGACTTTACTTTCATATATCTTTTCATTTTGTAAATTGAATGCTCAATATTATTTAGTCTTTTTATTTCACTAATTATTAACTCTTCTACAGAAAAAATATCAGGAGATATTACAACACAAACATAGACTCTATCTGATATTGATCAGTGTAAAACATATTATCAAGCCGCGGGAGGAGAAAAGAAAAGAAGAGTATATGGTCTTGGATCTCAAGCAAAATGCTACTACGGGCCAAATCTTCATGACTCTTTTGGATCTGATGCTACATCATCAGCAACACCTCCAAATGCTCAATCAACACCGACAGGGAATCACTACTAAAAATCTGCTAAAAACCGACCAACTATTTCCGACCAACGTTGGTCGGTCAAA